TAAAAAAAAAAAAAGTTCAAATTTTATTCATATCACTGTCCTAAATAGCCCTTCAATAATTCTCATTTCCTTCAGTCTAACTGCAAAGACCTTGACCGCTGACACCTACCCTCCCCAGACTGTCCCTTGCCTGCTCTCCGGCCTTGAACCCCATTGTGTTGCTCTAGTCTCCCTGAACTTCTTGCGGCTTCCTGTCCTTGCTCATGCTCTTCCTCCCACTTAGTGGTCACTGACCATCAGCCAATTACACACTTTTAGTTGTCAGCTTTTCCTGCAGTAACAAACAACCCCCCAAATCTCAGGGGCTTACAACAAGAAATGTCTATTTTCTCGTGTCTGTGCTTCCCTCTCTTCTGTGGCTCTGCTGGGCACAGCTGGGCTCAGCCCCCCCCCCCCAGGCCGCAGACCAGGTTCAAGTCTGCTGCACCCGTCTTTTCATCGCAGGATCCAGGCTGAAAGACAAGTACGAGGGGTATGTATTTGACCCCATGACAGAGGCAGATGCCCAGGAGGCCAAGCGAAACAGAAGCACATTTCAAGTCTTGGGCCAGAGGTGATAGACATCACTCTGTCCATTGTGTTGGCCAGTGCAAGTCACGCTGGGGAGCAAACGTCCAGGAGGCAGGGGTGTGTACATTTCCCATGGAGAAGTGAGGGACAGTGAATATCCACTAGATAAGGATACAGTCTACTGCACTGCCTCTCATGTCTACATGTGATCAAGAGAGCTTTCTTTCCTTCCTCTCTTGGGAAAGAAGAGTATTGAAAATTCATTTCCTCCCTCCATACTCCCTAGCTGTCTGAATGGGGAGGCGGAAAGAGGGGGACCGTCCCGTGTGGGGTCTCTCCCAGGGAACCTGTCTGCCTACATACTACCCAGGTTAATTGTCTCCTCTCCTCCTGCCCTGTGATAAACTCACCAGGGCAGGACTTAGCCCCTGAAAGGGGGCGAGTAAGCCAGTCTATTAGAGGGGCAAAAGGAGCAGGAACACCACACCAGCCTCAAGCCCAAGCTGAGGTCTCTAGTTCTAGCTGGGTATGAAACTGATCTCGCCTCTATCTGACTGCCGTGTTCATTTCTCAGCACACAATATGAAGGGGAGAAGTGAGTAAGGTCTCACCAAGCCCCCAACCCCAAGAGTGCTGTGACTTCTCCCAGGCCCCCATCTGACTAACATCTACTAATTATGAAAAATAATAATCCTAGCTCACACTCATATAACGCTTATTATGTGCTGGTCACTGTTAGAAGAGCTTTTCAAACATGAGTTCATTTAAAACTCATGCAAACGCTATGAGGTAGGCGCTACTTTTAATGTTAAACATTAACATTAAACATGTTCCCGCATGTTAAACATGAGGGAACTGAGACTCAGAGAGGTCCAATGACTTACCCAAGGTCACACAGCTATATCAGCACTGGATTTCAACTTGGGCAAAATGGCTGGAAACCATGATCTTAACCACTCCACTTTACTGCCTCTAGCTTTTCTACATCCCACCCTGCTTCCAGGCTGGATGAGGGAAGCCCTCCTCTTACTGGTGTTTGCAATATCCCCCACAAACTACCATCACCACACTGACTACACTGTGTTGGAATGACCCATTTATGAGTCTTTCTACCCTCCTGGCTCTAAGTTCTTGAGGACAAGAATGATATCTCATTTTTACCATGATATTCTCTACCTAACAAGATGCTTTTATGTATTTATCCAACATTTCCTGAGCATGACTAATGGCAAGCACTGTGCTGAGTGCTATCTCATTATTCCTCCCAGTCACATGATATCCCAGATGATAGCAAACTTGTACAGTTAGAAAGGTAGATTATTGGGGGGGGGGGGGGGCGGGGAAGGCCTGCAATCATGCAATCATATTTCCGTCCTTGAATCTGTGCTGACTTTAAGATTTTCTTTGGCCAATAAACCGCAGTGGAAGTGATGTCCAGATAGTTCTAAGCTTGGACCTCAAGGGGCCTTGTCCACTTTCATTCTCTCAAGGCCTTGGGCCACAGGAACAAAGCCCAGGCCAGCCTGTTGGAGGATGGGAGGCCACATGGAGCAGACATGAGCCAACCCAGTTGGTGCCATTTTAGACCAGTCAGCGCCAGGCCATCTTGGAGCCGACCACTGATGCATGAGGCAGCAGCTGTAAGCCCCACCCACTTCTGCCCCTTCCGTTCTTCTCTCCCGCCAAATATAGTCACGTGGTCTGCAAGATGAGAAAGGGCCACAATGGTTCCAAACGCTCTGTGACGAGAAACCAAACAGGCAAACAGGTCTTCCATTCCCGCCTCCAAGGATTTTAATGCACTAGCTCTCAAACCCTACGATAAATCCTGCTCTACCAAGAAGTGATTATTGTGTATCCCAGAATTAGAGCATCTCAAAGGAATGTTCAATGAATAAAATAAAGTGCCAGGAAAGCCTCTTATGTAATTCAAAGGGAATGAGGCCAGTCCCTCTGAAAGTGACTTGGATCTTGGAGAGGACACTTGTTTTTCTGGTTAGTGATGAAGGACTCAGCATTTGTAGAAAGGGATGAGAATTTTGCTGTTTTCTTGCAAAGTCTTGGCTCCTCTGCCCCGAAAGGTTTTGAATTTTCACCTAGTGGGCTCTATCTCAATAAACTCAGATAGCTCTGCCTCCTCTGGGAGGGAGGAGCTCTCTTTTTTATTAGCTTCTTAATTGCTCTGCTGCTTTTGTGTAACCTGCCAGCTGCCTGAAGACGCATGTCTAGGAGTGTAAGTAGCAGGGCAGAGACAAGCCTTTCCTAGGAATAGCCTTTGTTGTTCATTCATTGAAAAAAATTCTAGTATGCTGGCACTTTGGTAGGCTCTAGAAATAGAACAGTGCAAAAACAGAGGACCCGCCTTCCAGAAAGAAGGAGATGGAGAAGGAAGACAGACAAGAAGAAAATATCTTTTTTTTTTTTTTAGTTTATTTATTTTTTTGAGGGGGGGGGTGGTGGTGGGGCAGAGAGAGAATGGGAGAGAGAGAATCCCAAGCAGACTCCACACTGTAAGTGCAGAGCCCGATGCGGGGCTCCAACTCATGAACCATGAGATCATGACCCCAGCCAAAATCAAGAGTCAGATGCTTAACTGACTGAGCCACCCAGGCGCCCCCGGGGAGAGAAGATCTTATACCTGCCATGGCTTTTATTTCTTTGCTTAGCGGTTTGGGTTTGTTTTGTTGGAAGCTTTCCCGTATGGAGAGCCCCGCATTGTGCTGACTAGGGAAGACAAGAGTGCTTACAAAATAAAAAGGATATACTTTCGGAAAGATAATAGTGAGTGCCGTTAATAATCATTATAATTTCCTCGGTTTGGTTTTGTACACTTTTTGTAACAAAATATACATAACATAAAATTTACCATTTTAATCACTGTTTTTAAGTTTATTTATTTGAGAGAGACAGAGAGAGCACGAGTAGGGGAGGGGCAGAGAGAGAGGGAGAGAGCGAGAATACCATGCAGGCCCTATCGTCCGCGTGCAGAGCCCAACGTGGGGGCTCGAACTCACAAAACCGGGAGATCATGATCTAAACCGTGTTCCCCGCAAACACGGATTCCCTGTTCCTGTGTCCTCCCTCAGCCCCTGGCAACCCTCATTCTACTTTCTGTCGGTCGGAATTTGACCCCTCTAGCTACCTCACAGAAGGGGAGCCAACCAATATGTGTCCCTTTGTGATGGGCTTATTTCACTTAGCGTAACATCTTCAAGGCTCAGCCACGTTGCTGCTCTTGCAGAGTTTCACTCCTTTTCAAGGCTGAATAATACTCCAGCGTATGTGTCTACCACATGGCGTTCATCCGTGTGTCCATCAGGGGACATCTGCTTGCTTTCGCTTTGGGCTACTGCAGGTAACGCTACTCTGCGTCTGAGCGCGCAAATACCTCCTTGTGGCTCTGCTTTCATTTCTCTGGGGCACGCACCAGAAATGGGATGGCCAGATCACATGGAATCTCTATGTTTAACTTTTTGAGGGACCGCGTGAGTGCATGGCTCCACATTCCCATCAGCAGTGCATAAGGGTTCCGTTTTCTCCATGTCTTCACCAACACTTATTTTTTAGGTATTTTTTAAATAAGTCATCCTACTACTGGGGAGGAGGTGATAGCTCACCGTGGTTTTGATGTGCATTTTCCTCACGATCAGTGATGTTGAGCATCTTCTCATGTGCTCATCGGCCATTTGTATATCTGCTTTGGAGAAATGTCTACCCGGGGCCCCTGGCTTTGTCTTTCGTGACCATGTGCTGCTCTTGTGACCGTAGGTTTTGTGCCAGTCGCACCGTCGCAAGCTCCACAGGTGCGTTCTGGTGTGTAACCTCACTACAAGCGAATTTGGGAATATCGTTCCATTTTTCAGGTGAGAAAGCAGGCTCTCTTCAAGACCCATGACCTACAAAGTGGCAGGGAGGAATGCGAGAGGGGCCTGGCTGACCTCGCTGAGCCGCCCTGCATTTCCGGCAGCGGAGGCCTATGGGAAGGCAGGGAGCAGTGCCCATCTGGCCTTGGGAGGGCTGTGTGTCTCACACATTCCCTGTGCTCCTCTGTCACACTCCCCCCTTCCTCTTACTTCCTTCCTTTCCCTGGTCTCTCCTTTCTGATCCTGAGCCATTAAATGTCTCCTGCCTGCCAGCCAAGATCTGATAAATTCTTAGCACTTCAGTGAGAACGGCTCCCTTCCCAGGAGGATTTTCATTGTCAAAGGCATAAACTAGAGGAAAAGTGCCCAGAAAGACCCTTTGGAGAGTCGCCCCTGGAGATACGACTGGGAAGGTGCAATCTCACCTGGGGTGAGCCAACCAGAGAAACGGAAGGGGGGGGCAAGCTGACAGCAGCCCCCACCCCATAACCCGGTGACTGGCTCTTTTTATTTTTTTTCCACAAAGTGATATGACCCAACCACTCCTTTGTTCTTAATACAATTCTACAAACTGAGCATCTACTATGTGCCAGGCACTGTTCCAAACATCTTACACAGATTCACTCACCTAAGCCTCCCAACCACCACTGGGCCCATTGAGGCATGGAGAAACTGAGCCTCTGAGAAGTCAGATCACCAACTCAGACAGACTCCCACCACTGTGAAGTGGTCCAGACACGATCCCGGCTCATGGGCACTGGATCCAAAGCCTGCACTTAGCTGCTGCCTCACACTGCCTACAGTATTCTCCTACAGGAATTTAGAGACAGATATACATGCTAGATACATGCATGGATGGATGGATGGATGGATGGATGGATGGACGGACAGACAAATAAAGAGTTGGGTGAAGGCAAAGGAGAGGCTTTTGCTCCATCCCTGACTTTTACTTACTTGTCAAGTAGCTGACCATCAACATCAGCCTCCTCCAGCTCTCACCCACCCCTCCCCTGGAAAGGAAGTCTCGGTTGTCTGTTCCTTCGCACCTCTCACCACCACCAATCCATTGTGCGCTTTCTCTGGGAAAGAGCCCCGGTGGTGCTGCCCCCTGTGGCCTACACCACCAGGGCAGCCTTCACCTCTGGCTTTCAGAGGACACAGCCAATGGAAGGACCAGCAAGGGCCAAAGGGTGCCCGATTGCTGGCAGTTTCCACATCCTCCTGTGGCCATGCACCCTGCTCTGTAGCCCGCTTCAAGGCTACAGCCTCTCCAAGTGGAATCCCTCTGCCTTCCTGGCATCCTTAGGGCATGCACGTCCTTCAGCCTTCGCTGGCCTCGAAGCGCCACACCACTGCGTATTTGTTCCTTCACTCTACCCACACCTCTGTGATGTTCCCTTCTCTTCATTTAGATCTTCCCTGCCAGCTCTGCAGACTCTCTTAAAACGTTCAGAGAACGGATGGGGAAGAGGGCTGTGTCTGCTGGATCCTATAAACACATGGACAAACACATACATATACAGACACATACACACACACGTATGCACACACAGTGCACATGCCCACGGACATGTGCACATGTGTATACATATGTACACACGTGTACATTGTGTGCACATGCACACATGTGTGCAAACCCATGTACTCGCGTGTGCACATGCACACACATATATGTGCACATGCGTGCATACACACACACCCTCAAATACCAGGAGAACACAGCCCAGATGCTCACAGTGGTTTTCTCTGGGCGACAGGATTATAAGTGATTGTTTTTGTTTTTTATTAATGCGTTTCTGGATTTTCTATGATATTCATGACTCTAAAATTTTGTGTGTTCTCTCTGTTTTCAAAGAAATGCTGATCCATGGGTGAGAAGGCAGAGCCAATGGTGGGGGAGGCAGCTGCAAATATATTGAGGGGGCAGAGTTCTTGTTTCCTCTGCACATATACTGGTGGGAGAGGACTCCCCTGCCTTTGCAAAGACCCCCACCCCCTTCGCAAGCCCTCCTACGGCCCACCTCTGCTCCGAGCCCACCTCTGCTTTCTCCCCAAGGCTACCTCGAGGCCTTGAGATTAGGAAAGGCTCTTAAGAGCCCTGCCATGCCTCTGAAATGACCAGAAGTGTCAGCTAGCCCTCTGCCTGGACCCCTGTCCCCCAGTAGCCTCCCCACTCAGGTGTTGAAGCCTCCCCAGCCCCCTGCTTTCCGTCTGTGGGAGGAGACCCTGGACTTTCCAGGCAGTGAGAAAACTGTGTGTCCTACAAACCAGGCCCTGACTTCCTTATTCTCCCCGTCGCCCCACCCCCACCCCCGCCCCCGCCCCTACAAGAGCTCCATTCAATCGTCTCTCAGGACCTGCCCTGAGATCTGAGACACTCTCAGGCAACAATAGCAGGTCAGATGGAAAAGCATTTATTAACGTTTCAAATAGAGGAGTTCTAGAAAGGCAGCCCTAAAGAAGGCCTTTCATGGCAGCATTTCAGGCAGTGGTCAGGGCAGTCTGTTGAGAAACGGAGGGTGTCACGCTTCCCTTGCCGTCCTCCCACCAGAACAGAACCAACTTTCTATTGCACTTCAAAGCAGGGCCAACCCAGGTCAGCCAGGCCACTGCCCATGGCTACCTCCGAGGAGAAGCTAATCTAACAAGGATCTAGCGGCAGCAGAGGGAGGAACCGGTTATTGAGATGTAAAATTGGGTTAAAGTAAATGAGTCCAGCCCTCTGCTCTACTCCCCAGCCCTGAGGAACCTCTGAGGTAGCTGCAGTGGACAGACCCTGTGGGTGGTAAACAGACCCAAGCCCAGAAGTTTAAAACTCCTATGTTCTGCGCCTAGCCGGCTCCTAATCTGCTGTGTGATGTTAGGCAAAATTCTAAACCTCTCTGAGCCTTGTGACACGGCTGGCAACGTGAAGAGCTTGGACTGGGGGGATCTAAAGCCTCCTCCAGCTCCAATATGCTGTGATGTCCCCTGCCCTTCCCTCTTCCACCCCCTTCCTCACTCCCTTTCCCTCACACGCACACACACACACACACACACCCCAGTCCCAAAGATCGAATCCAAGAGAAAGGCAGAGTTTGGGTCAACTCAGTCCAGAGACTTCTGGAAACTGCAATGGACCTGCAGCTTGTATTTGGCCAACTGTCTTAGGGACTGAAAGAGCTCCTCTTCCCAGGTCAACCAAAGGTTCAGGCCTAGATAAAAGGACTGCCCCACGCTCAGCGAGCTGAGTTGCTCAGCCCGCGTCCAGGATGAACCAAGGCTCCTCGCTGACGCTCCAGTTTCAAAACAAAGCTTTGAAAGAGAACTGCATTCAGTGGAAAATCCCCCAGTAACAAGGCCCCTGGGAGCATTCTGGGAACACCATCTGTCAAGCATCATTCCCACAACCTGTGACCAAAACAGCCTTTCAGTGTCAATACCAATCACAATCATCACATCCTGTGTCTTTAGACAGTGGTCCTGGACCCTGTAAAGCCCTTCATCCGGACTCAGTTTGGCCTCATACAACTCTCTGAAGTAGGCGAAGCAAGGGACTTTCAAGTAACTTAGTCCTGTGTTAGAGATGGGGACTCTGAAGCCCAAAAACGTAACAGAAGTGGAAAGAGGGATACTCAGAGCTTTAACAAAGTCTCCTGAGCAAAGTTCGATGAGCTCCCCCATTCCAGTGCACCCCACGTGCCCCCGGCAGACGGCTGTCCAGCTGGCTGCACCACAGCCATCTGGGCGCCACCACAGCCATCTGGGCGCCACCACAATGATGCGAGAGGTCTTGGAGGTTACCCCAAACCTGTATTTTTCATCTTCCCTAGTGATGCACAGATTTGGGGACCACTGCCCACCATGCCATCTGCACAGAATCTGGGAATCCTGGAAACTGCAGGCTTAGAAGGACCATCAGAGCTCCAGGAGGACACTCACCTGCCCAGCACAAGTTGTCTCTCCGAGGCGTCCACAACCGCTGAGGATACAGATGGTGACGCAGTGACAGAGACCACCAGTAGTCACAGCTTGAATGAAGGGGCAGCATCGTTCTCACATAACACTCCAGGGCTGATAGGGCAGCTCCTTAGGCTTGGGGACACAGGACTCTTCTGCTTGAATTTGTAGGGTCTACTGACATTTGGGCACCGCAGGAAGCAGACTCCAAGCTGGAGGTCAGCGTGCAGGATCCACACCTGTGAAAAGGGGTACCGGCTGGATTGAGCAGAGGGAGGAGTCGGGCTGTGATACGAGCACGGCCAAGGCTTCAGCCGACCCCTTGGAGACCCCTGAGGCTGTGATATCGTTTCAGGTTTTTCATACTGAGACGAGGGAGCCAAGCCTTTACACACACACACAAGGACTAGCCGTTGGACACTGGCTGCCCGTGGGAGGGGGTATGACCTTGGTCCAGAAGACTCTCTTCAGCTGAGGGCGATTCTCAGCATTGTCTGATAGCTGAGGGTGGGCAGCTGTGGGAATGAGCCCTTCGCTCCTGAAAAGGTAATCTGAGCAGCACATCACAGCACCCACTATGAGACTTGTTACATGTTGAATTGTGCTCCACCCTCCCCCCAAAAAATCCGTATGTTGAAGTTCTAACCCCCAGTACCTCAGAATGTAAACTGATTTGGAAATAGAGTTGTTGCAGATGTAATTAGTTAAGTTTAGATGATGTAATACTGGAGTAGGGTGGACCCCCCCCCAATCCAACACGGCAGCTGTCTTTACAAAAAGGGGAAATTTAGGGGCACCTGGATGGCTCAGTTGGTTAAGCGTCTGACTCGGTTGTGGTTCAGGTCATGATCTCGCGGTTTCATGGGTTCAAGTCCCGCGTCAGGCTGTGCACTGACAGTGAGGAGCCTGCTTGGGATTCTCTCTCCCTCCCTCTCTGCCCCTCTCCAGCTCACGCTCTTTATCAAAATAAATAAATAAACTTTAAAAAAATTCAAAAAGGGGAAATTTAGACACAGGAAATGCACACAGGGAGTACTCAGTGAAGAACAAAGATTGGGGTGATCCTTCCACAAGCCAAGGAATGACAAAGATTGCCAGCAAACCACCAGCAGCCAGGGGAGAGACATAGAACAGCTTCTGCCTCACAGCCTCAGAAGAGACTAACTCTGCCGACACCCTGACGTTGGGTCTTTGGCCTCCAGAACTGTGAGACAATAAATCCTGTTGTTCAAGCCACTAAGTCTGCGGTACTTTGTCATGGAAGCCCTCAGGAAACTAATATGAAGATGTTGCTTTCATCCATATGGTCTGCACTCCAGCCCAAGGAGAAAGAAAAGGGAGAAGGCAGACAGACCTCCTCCCTCACCTCTAGTCATATCCCATTGGTCACAACTTGATCACATGGCCACATTAGCTGCAAGGAAGGCTGGGAAATGGAGTCTTCATGCTGGACAGCCACGTGCCCGGGTAAAAATTCTGCTACTAAAGAGGAATAAGACTGTGAGTAAAATGAAGTGAATCCCTTCAAGGAGGTCAAGTAAACTTGGTCGGGGGGCGGGGGAGGGGGCAGACATAACAACAAACACTCCACCTAGAAACTTGCCAGGAGGTCTCCAAGAAAGGAAAGCATATGGGATTTTGAGAGCAGAAAAGAAATCCAGTCTGATGCTGCCTGAGAGCTGGAGAAGCTTCCAGGAAGAGGTGACACAGGAGCTGGTCCTGGAAGGGCAGAGAAGACATTCCCAAAGTTTGTTCTATGGGTAGTGTACAAGGAGCTCTACACCGATTCTCTCATTTCCTCTTCAGAACAACCCTGCAAAGCAGCCACTCCTATCTCGATTTCGCAGAGGAGGAATTTGAGCTAGGTAGAGAGATTAAGTAACCTCGACAGGTTTCTTGTCAAAGGTCCCATGACTACTAAGGGGCAGAGCAAAGGTACAAACTAGGTCTTCTAATTCCGAACAAAGGTCCTATTTGTAACCCAGATATCATTTTGGACCCCCCAACCCCTGAGATCTACACAGGACGCTGTTAGGAGACAGAGTCACAGTTAAGAACACTAATTCTATCCAACGTGTGAGCACATTCTCAGGGACTCATTCATCCATGGTCTCCTATCTCTGCCTCCAGAGTTCTGGGCCTTCATAAGCTGTCTGGCCCTTCCTGGTATCAAACTGGATTTAAACCCTTCACCGGTTTTCTAAATAAGTAAGTAGTATGTTTAACTAGGAGAGGTAGGGGGAAGGGTCACAGCTCTCCTGCATGACCATTTCCTGACCCCAAACCACAGCCCCCATGGCTCTCCCCAATAGCCTCCACACCCAGCTCTCTTTCAAGCTCCACCACTCTCTTTGATGCCCTGGTGATCCAGGAAACCTTTGTTCAAATCCCCCATTGATAGACTGGGCTCATAATTTACTTACTGATGCTCATCTCTGCAGCTGCCTTTCTGTGCTCTTGTCTGTACACCTGGGGCTACGTATATGCGAACTACATTTCCCAGGCTCCCTTGCCTACTGGCTTCCTGGTTCTTTACACCAATGGAAAATGTTGTTGGTTGGAGATGAGCAGGCGGGTGGGAGGAAGTGAGAAGTTTCCTCCTCTGGCATTCTGACTGGTGGGATGGCTGGGGCTCACTACAGT